CTGAGTACCAAGTGTTACGAGTGCAATTGAGCGAGCGAAAGAGAATTGCACTATCGAAGCAAACAATACAATGAGCGAAGGCATGAGCGAAGAATATATAGCGAAGCTAGCGTGGTAACGGTAACGCGAGAAAATGGGGTGTGCTATGGGCCTAGCGCCGAGGTTGGGAAATGTCGAGGCGGAGGTCCGGAGCGCGGGTTACTGTTAAATGATATTGCATATCCTATTTATAACTGCCTACAGCTTGCAGCTAGTGTATTACTTAGTTATAGAACCTATTGCTGGTGGTGTACCCTTTTGTCTTGCCTAGCCTCTTCCTTCTCCTATATCTTGTACTCTTGCCTAATATCAAAGCCCTCTTTTGGCCAACTTCCCTCTCCATGGTTCTCCTTGCTGAACCTCTCCAAAACCCTAGTTCCTAATCTCCTAAGTTTCCTAACTACTGTGGTTCTCAACATGTTATCAGAGCGTGGTCTTTTCTAGGACCTATTCTACATGGGCCCACCAACTCCGCCTTCTGCCATGGCAGCCCACTATGCTGCTTGCGCGAAATCTGCTGCTGTTTCCGGAGCTTGTGCTAAACCCGTCGCGCTGCCCCCCGTCGCCTTCAATCCGCCTGCCTTGTCGCGGCGCTCAGGGCGACGGTCGTGGCTGACATCATGGCGAGCGCCAGCGACCCGCCAGCGCGTTCGCGAATGCGCCAGCAACAGTCGCAAGCGGGAGCACGAGCGCCAGCGCCAGCGCCGGCGCGCAGCGCCAGCGACCAGCGCCGACGCCAGCGCCGACGCCAGCGCCAGCGTCAACGGTGGACGCCAGCGCCAGCGCCAGTGCCGACGCCAGCGCCCAGCGCCCATGGCGGTCGCCAGCGCCAGCGCGGACGCCAGCGCCGACGGCGGGCGCCAGCGCCAGCGCCGACGACGGGCGCCAGCGCCAGCGCCGACGGCGGGCGCCAGCGCCAGCGCGACGCCAGCTCCCAGCGCCAGCACTTCCGCCAGCGCCAGCGCATGGGGGGGAGGGGGATGAGGGGGTGGCGGGGGTGACCAGCTCCTTACTCTCTCCCTGCAGCGCCTGTCGCTGTGGGGGGGGGGGGGAGGAGGGTGAGGGGGTGGCGGGAGAGCTTCTACCGCGCCAGCCGCCTCCTCTCCTCTCCTCTCCTCTCTCCTCTACTCCAGCCGCCCCTACTCTCCTCTCCTCTCCTCCAGCCGCCTCCTCCTCTCTCCTCTCCTCCCTCCTCTCCTCTCCTCTCCTCTCTCCTCTGCTCCAGCCGCCTCCTCTCCTCTCCTCTCCTCTCTCCTCTGCTCCAGCCGCCCCTACTCTCCTCTCCTCTCCTCCAGCCGCCTCCTCCTCTCTCCTCTCCTCCCTCCTCTCCTCTCCTCTCTTCTCTCCTCTCCTCTAGCCGCCTCCTCCTCTCTCCTCTCCTCTCTCCTCTCCTCTCCTCCAGCCGCCTCCTCATCTCTCCTCTCCTCCAGCCGCTTTTTCCTCCGCTTGTTTGCTCCTCCAGCCGCTACTCCTCGGCTCTCCGCCTGTGCGCCACCAGCTTCCTCCTCCTATCCAACGGTTGGTGTTAATCACCAGCAGCCTACGCCCTCCGGTTATCCCAGCCCTCCTCCGCGCCCTCCGCGCCCTCCTCCGTTCTGGCGTTCACAGGTGCTCCCGGTCAGCCACCGCTGTTTCTGTGCCTATCCCAGCTACAGCAACCGCTCTCCAGGCGACCTGGTGCCAGACACCACTAGCTAAAGCCGTAGACAGTTACGGGGGTGTGTTAAATGATATTGCATATCCTATTTATAACTGCCTACAGCTTGCAGCTAGTGTATTACTTAGTTATAGAACCTATTGCTGGTGGTGTACCCTTTTGTCTTGCCTAGCCTCTTCCTTCTCCTATATCTTGTACTCTTGCCTAATATCAAAGCCCTCTTTTGGCCAACTTCCCTCTCCATGGTTCTCCTTGCTGAACCTCTCGAAAACCCTGGTTCCTAATCTCCTAAGTTTCCTAACTACTATGGTTCTCAACAGTTACCAACCGAACCGTGAGGTTGGGTCGCATCGTGAACAGTGGCGGGAGTCGTAGTCGAGGCGAGTGTCGCGAGCGGGTAACGTTTTACTGTTGGGTGCCGATGGCGGGAATGGTCATGTACGCGGTAAGCAGGGGCGCGAAGTAAGGAAAAGAAATTTTCCTTACTTGATTCTGCTCACTCTATAATAAGTTAATTCAAAAGGAATTTTCCTTGCACATGGGCATATGTTATATGAATTTCTTCTCAAACGCTAGGCGAATATATGGCGGCGCTTTCCGCGCGTCGATGCCGCGCATTCCACAAAGCAAAAGGGTTGCCTGACGTACACTAGTCAGCTCGAGCTTGGCGTGCTGGCAGCCACGTGGTTGGTGAGGTGACTTGAGGAGTCTTCTGTTGAACGCAAAAATGTTGTGGAAGTTGCCCAGGGGCAGGGACAACAGAATGATTTCTGGACAATGAATGTAGAATGCCACTATGCAGCTGAATATTTTTTCCTCAGCCCCTTCATCGGTGTTCTAAACATCTCGTCGTGTTTCACCCTAGTCAAGAGCTGGTGCATTAGACAGGTTCGCACAGCGCACACACAAGGCTTGTGTTGTCGGTTCTGCCCAGACCTCTCTGGTCTCGTAATTTGCCGAAGCTCTGGTGCAAGCGGTTCCCCAAACGAGCAGCAGTGACGTGACGGCGCAGTGGTGGTGATCAAGGGCAGCTCGAGTGTTTCTCAATTCTCGATCAGGAATTCGAATCGCGTTGTGGTTCGATGCTCCATTTGTCCTTCCTGCTTTACTGTGCCTGCGGGTGACAGATTTTCTCAAGGGCGGCGGAGCAGCATCACCAGTCACCTAGGCTGCGCCGGCGTGTGTTCTTGCGCGGCTTACCGAAGCCCTGATGCGCTGCGCCTGACCAGAATCAGCTGGAGGTACGGAACGAGGCTCGCGTCGGTTTAGCCATGTGTCGGTTTGGTAAGGGAAGGTCGAGGTGAGGGAGGTCGCGGCGTGCCGCTGATTTTGTTGTGACTAGGCTCACACCACACCAACTTTGAATGGTTGGATGCAGAGAACAACCACACCAACTTTGAATGGTTCGGCAAACGCCAACCACTGTTACGGGCAAGCGATAAATGAATCACGACGACCAGGGCAACGCAAAAGCAATTTGCCAGCCCAAACAGCAAATCGCTCCATTCCCCGAATGGGGGGAACGCGTCCGGTCAGCTGCCCAGGAAATACAGTTTTGGTATCCCCGAACCTTACCCTAGCCAGATTTGGCAAGTACCGGACCAGAAAGTTGGCACGGGCCCCAAGCCAAGACCAGCAAGGTGTGGTGCTGTACTAGCTGGAGCCCCAAACCAAAACAGACAATTTCGCTTGTCTTCTCTGCAGCGGCGGACCTGTGCGCGCGGGTCAGAGGCGGCGGCGGAGCAAGAAAACCATCTCCAAGGAAAGAGATGCGAAGGAGGCTAGCAACCCAAAAGCAGTCGTCCATCCGTCCACGTTTCCCCCATTTGCCCCTCACCCACTCGCCCCGCCAGTGCCACCACCACCCACCATACGTCCCCCTCGTTCTTCCAAATCCCACATCCAAGCTTGGGCGAGCAGCTCTGTTGGTGAAGCCGTTGATCCAGCCCTTTTTAGAGAGATCTAGTGCTTGACTTCATGTTTGGAAAATGAAATCGAGGCAAGGTTGTAAATTTAGCATGGCAGCAACAGCACCCGCTGGTGAAGACGCAGCAGGACTTGCACCTCCCATCCCAAATAGGCTACCACACATACAGTAGACTAAGCTCCACTCTCTTGCTTCCTTCGGCTCATCACCTGGCTGCTTCCCTCGAGCCGTTCTTGATGCCATGCCTTTTTCGCGCCGATCGCTCGTGCTTCCCCCCTTCAAACGGCATCTTAATTTATCGATTCTCCAAGTGCGCTAGCACAATCGTCGTACTCAACCAAACACCACCAAACAAACTCCACAAAACACCACTCAGCACCACCAAACTCACTCCCTATCCCCCGCATCCTCCTCCCGACAATCCATCCCCTTTCTGTCCTGCCGGGCGAATCCCACTCCCGACTCATTTCAGTCACCGCTCCGCCTCCGCCCCCCGTTGGTCACTCGCTTCTATACCAATTCCACGTCCGCTCCAACTCTGCTGAAAGCCTCTCTGGATTGTAGTTACCGCGAATCGCCACCGGCTCATTTCACCGCACCCCCCTCCTTCGCCTGCACACCCACATACTCCGTTCCGTTCTTCATCAGCAGCGCTAGCGAGTGATGCGTTTGCAGTGTGGGCGCCTGCTAGTTAAACGGCGCCGCGGGCGATCCGGGAAGGCATCGGTTGGGCTCTGGTAGACGTAGCTGCTCGACGGAAAAAGGAGGCCTCTTCGTTACTCGCAGGCAGCGCGCGGAGAACGCGTCCTCAGCGCGACAGTCGAGTGGATAGCACGTCGCCGCGTGGCAGCGCAGCAGCAGGATACTAGCTCGAGCGGGCTATCCGTAGACGGTTTAGCCGAAAAGGGGAGAAAGCGGTCGTGGAGTAGCCACAAGGGCGATTAAGATCTGCGACCAGTGGGTTCACGCTTGCAGGTTCTATCGGTACGGACGACTCGTAAGGAAGTGAAGGAGAGAAAGAAGGAGCGGAGAGGAAAGGAGAGGAGAAGGGAGGAGAGGAGAGAGAGGAGAGAAGAGTGAGCGAGAAGGTAGTATCTATTCAGAAGCGGGTGATTTTGTCAACAAATTGCAGCGAAGGTCGCTGAGTGGTGCTTCGAGAATTCGCCACTACCAGCCAGCGACTCAGCAGCTCCTGCTTTCCGAACCTTCCTTTTTCCGAAGAATTCTCCGTCGTCCCCTTTCCCCACCATCCCACGCGCTGCTGCTTGCATCACCATCTGCAGCGGTGGCGGCGTCCGCGGAGCCTCCGTTGGCGGTGCCAGCGGCGTCGGAAATTGCGGCGGTTGCGGCAGCGGCGGCGCGGGCGGTGACGGTACTATGTCCCGCAAGGTGACGCAGGTGTCGGGCATTCTGGACGTGCATGTGATGCAAGCGGAGGGACTGAAGAACGTGTGCTTGTACGGACCCCAGGACGTTTACGTTAAGATCCTCTGCGGCACGCACGACGACTCGCAGGGCCGCGTCGCGCTGCACACCAAGACCGTGAAAGCCGGCGGCTCGAACCCTATATTTAACCAGCGACTACAGGTGAGAAGGGGAAAGGGAGGGAAAGGGAGAGGGGGATAAAGAGGGGGGAGGGGAGGGGGAGGAAGGCTGAGTCGAGAGGCCACGAAAGTCGCGGCGACGGGGAGGCGTAGTAGGAGGATAAATGCGCGCTGGTGGTTCTGGTGGAATTCAGGGTGTGTGATCGTAGAATGATCGTTCCTGGGCTTGAATTAGCGCGTGTTGAAACTCTCGTTCTGTCCTCTCAGTCCCCTCCTTCCTCTTCCCCTTCACCTTCCCTTCCTCCTCCCCCTTCCCTTTCTCGTCCTCCTTCCCGTTCCTCTTCCCCCTTTCCCTCCCTCGTCCGCGGAACCCTGTGTTGCGCCCGCGCGCCCCTACCAGGTAGGAGTGCAGGAGCGCCACGTGGAGGTGAAGTGCGAGATCTGGGCGGCGAGCCACAACCGCGGCACGGCGGACGACCAGCTTATCGGCTTCGTGCACGTGCCCATCTACAAGTGAGCGCGCTCTCCGCTCCGCCTACTCTCCCCCTTCTCTCCCCCTTCTCTCCGCCCTGCCGCTCCGCCCTCTCCCCTTTCCGCTCCGCCTGCGATCCTCCGTCTTTGGGATGCTCTCCCCGCGCCAAGCTGTCCGTTCCGCCTCCTCCGCTCCGTCCCGCCTCTCCGCGCGTGCTGCCCCTTCTCCATGCTCCTCCGCTCCTCTGTCTTCCGAAGAGACTCCGTCGTTGTGTATTCGTCGAAACCATTATGCTTCGGAAGTTTCTTTCCTCTCATCTCCCCGGTCTCCCATCGCTATTCCTTCCCGCCGCCCTTCCTCTCCTCGTCCCCTTGCCCTTCCCCCTCTCCCCCCTCGCCACCCTCCTTCTCACCCGCTCCCCCTCGATCGTGCCGTTCCCTTCCTCTCATTCTTCCCCATCTTCTCCCCCTTCCCCCGCCCCCCGCCCCCTGCTCGCCCCTCTCTTCCCCTCCCCCGCACCCGTCTCCCCACCCCCCGAACCCCCCCCCCCCCCCCCCCGCGCCCACCCCCCAGAGAATCTTCCGACAAAGCCAAGGGGCAGACTATCCGCGAGTTCCCCCTCCGCCCGGTAGACGGCGACGCGGGAACAGCCTCCGCGGGAGTCATCCGCCTTGCGCTCTCCTACCATCCGCGCCCCTCCTCTTCCGCCGCCGCGTCCTCTGCCCTCCCCATCCGCGGACCCCCCGGCGGAGGCATCTTAGGCCGCGCGCTTTCCGCTGCCTTCTGCCGGATCGCCAGCGACAAAGCGGGCGCGGGGAGCAGCAAAGCGAGCGGAGCGGGCGGAGCGGCGGCGGCGGCGGCGGCAGCAGCGGCGGCGATTCCCGCAGTGCCGGCAGCGGGCGCGGGAGTAGCAGGGGCGCGCGGAGTTGTTGCGGCTGTTGGCGGAAGCATTAGCGGTTGGGGAGAGGCCAGTGCAGCAGGGGGCGGCGGCTTCGGGGGAATTGGGGGAGGAGCAAGCGCAGTAAGCGCAGTAGGGCCAGGGGCAGGGGCGCAAGCAGTGGCGCAAGGGCATTTTCAGGCGCAAGGTCCGGGGCAACCGGCGGCGGCGCTAGAGGCGCAAAGCGCAGCCCGCGGAAGGCAAGCGCAAGGCGGGTCGCGGTTTCCGCATCTGCAGTCGCAGCAGTCGCAGCCGTCGCAGCAGTCGCAGCCGTCGCAGCAGTTGCTGTCCCAGCAGCAAGGAATCTTAGGGAGCACGCTAGGAGGTTCAGTATCGTCCGGTCTAGACTTAGTTCAGGCTTTAAGGGCAGTTGCGGAGGTCGATAGGGCGGGACTCGTAGGCGCGGGCGGAAAGAAGAAGGCCAAATCCGGGCCGATTATATCCGGCGGAATGGAAGTGTATGGCGGAGCGGGGAGCGCAGGAATCGGCGGAACTCTGGCGGCATCCGCGGGGCTCGGCGGAACGTTCAGCCCTGGGTTCGGAGGAGGCATGGCGGGTGCGGGATCGAACAGCGGCGCAAGCGCGGGGGGGATGTTCGGGGGAGGCATGGGGAGAGGCATCGGGGGAGGCATTGGCGGGGGTAGCGCGCACGCGCACGCGTTGGCGCAGCAGCTTCCCCACGGCAAGCCGAAATCGAAGTCCGGACCGCTGCAGCACGTGGCGGAAGGGGGCGCAGCGGGGGGAGGCATGGGGAGAAGCGGCCCCGCAACGAGCTGGGTAGGTCTAGGGGGAGGCGGCGGAGGCGCAGGCGCAGGTGCGAGCGCGGGCCTGGTCGCGGGGGAGCTGCTTGCGGGCGCGTTTGGCGGAGGGGGGATCTTCGAAGGGGTGGCGGAAGGGGCGTGGGGATCCGACGCGTCTGTGCTCTCCGCGATTCTGCTCCGCGACGGGCTTCTTCCGCCGCGCGCGGTGGGGCTGGCGCAACAAGCGGCGGAGGGAGGCGGAACGGCTGGCGGGGGAGCGGGAGCGGGAGGGGGAGGGGGGAGAAGAGAAGGGTCGCTGGGGGCGAATCCGCTGCCCGCGCGCTTCTCAGGGCTGTGCAGTGTGGGGGAAGGGGAAGGAGCAGGGGGGGAGGCGGGGCCAGGGGGAGGGGGAAGTGGTGGGGGAGCAGAGGCAAGTGGCAGAGCTGGGGGAACTGGCTTGGGTGGGATAGCAGCGCCAGGCGGAGGAGGGAGGGGGAAGGCAGGGGGTGTAGGTGGGCATATTGGAGGAGTTGGGAGTGGTGCTCCTCGTGTTCCTCCCCTGTCAGCTGTTGCTGCTGCGGCCGCGTCTGGCGCTGCTGCTGCTGCTGCTGGCTCTTCTGCGCGCTCGCAGCACCGTCAGCATCACCACCGAGAGCAGCAGCAGCAGTTGCAGCACAGCCAGAATCACCACCACCAGCAGCAGCATCATCAAGACGCCATTGCTGCTGCTGCTGCTGCTGCTGCTGCTGTTGCCATTCCAGCTGCAAGCACCGGCATGGGCCCCAGCATCCTATCTGGCATACCACCTGGGATTTCACCTGGCATGGGCGGGCACAGCCAGCTGTCCCCTGAGCTGCTCACTCTGTGGGAAACACCTGACGCTGTAGCCATGGAAGCTGCATGGTCGCCCCCCCACGGCCCCTGGCAGGGGGTTTACCACCACACCTCCTCTCTAGCCGGCGCTGCTTCCCCCACTGGCAGCGGGGGAGGCGCGGGGGGAATGGAAGGGGGGGGGGAGGGGGCGGGAGGACGGGGAGGGGAGCGAGCAGAGCGCGGAGGAGGTTTCGTCCACGCAGAAGCGGACGTGTGGCGCGGATGGGGGCGCGGGGGAGGCGGGGAGGGCGGGGATGGGGGAGGAGTGCTGCGCGGATGGCGGGTTTGGGGGGGAATGCGGGGGGTGCGGGGGAGGCGGGGTAACTGGGGGAGGGGGTGGGGGAGAGGGGGGGGACGAGTGCAGCATGCATAGAGCTTGTGGAGGTGGGGTAGGGGGAGGCGGAGGCGGAGGGGGAGGCGGAGGCGGAGGGGGAGGCGGAGGCGGAGGGGGAGGGAGAGGGATGGGAGGTGGCGGTGTGGTGGTGGAGGGGTCGTTCTTTGAGACGTGCTCCCCGGACCGGTTCCTGCAGTCGCCCCCACGGGGTATGGGGGGAGCAGCAGGCATGGAGGAGGGCGAAGGGGACTGCCACATGGGTGGCGGTGGCGCTGCTGGTGGCGGCGGTGGTGGTGGTGATGGTGGTGTGCAAGAGAGGACGAGTGGACGACGATCCAAGGCGGGAGGGAGAGGGAGAGGGGGAGGGGGAGGGGGAGGCGTGGGTGGTGTTGGGGAGTGGAAAGTGGCGGAGAGCAGAGGCGAGGGCGGAAGACTGTTCCGCATGGCCATGCCTGATGGGTTTGACACGGAGGGATGGGGCTCTGTGGATGATATGGATGTGTCCGGGGCTGATGGGGCCGGGGAGGGGGAAGGGGAAGGGGAAGGTGGTGAGGGTGAGGGGATTGAGTTGGAGGGGGAGGAGAGGGGAGGGGTGTATGGGGAGGGTGGGCATTTGCTTGTTTATGTGAGCTCGGATGCCAGTGCTGATGGTGGGGTGTATCAGAGAGACACACAGCAGCAGCAGCAGCAGCAGCAGCAGCAGCAGCAGCAGCAGCAGCAGCAGACGCAGGCGCATGTGGGGGCAGCAGCAGGCGGAGTATCCTCCCCGGCGCTACCACCAGCGCCAGCGCCAACGCCCATGCCGTCTCCCGCTCTCAAGCCAGCAACTCCTGTGCCCTCCCCTGCACTCGCACCCGCCCCTGCCCCTCGCCTGCTCCGAATGCCCTTCCAGAAACTGCTAGAGGACGAGCAGCAACAGCAACAGCAGCAACAGCAACAGCAGCAGCAGCAGCAGTTGCAACTGCAGCACCAGATGCAGCTGCAGCAGCAGTTACAGTTGCAGCACCTCTTACAGCAACAGCAACAACAACAGCAACAACAACAGCAACAGCAACAGCAGCAGCAAGAGCTGCAAGAGCAGGAGGACATGGATGATGGGTATGGCATTGGCAGCAACCCAAGCTGGAGGGGCCGAGTGCAGCTGCTGCAACTGCCGTCTGGCCTCATGGGGGGGAACGCATGGCTCCCTGCCTCTGCCTCCGGGGCTGCTGCTGGTGCAACCATGCATGGGATGCAGGGAGGGCAGGGAGGGCAGGGAATGCGGCAGCAGCAGCAGCAGTTCTCCGGGCCTCTGGAGCCACATGTACCGCCCGCACTCACGAGCAGCATCGGGGGCAGTGCAAGCGCAAGCACAGGAGTAGGAGGAGGAGGAGGAGGAAACGGGAGTGGCACAAGCAGCAGCAGCATGCGGCATGCATCGCTGGGCCACAGGGTGCTGTCAGCATCGCAGCCCCTCCCTCCTCCTCCACACTCGCTCTCACTTCTTGCTGCCTCTGCGCACCCCACGCCTCTCTCCTTCTCTGCCCCCCTCTCTGCCTTGCCTGGCCAAGGGTCAACGCAAGCTGCTGGAGCAAACGCGCTAGCAGCAAATGCTGCAGCTACTGCCTCTGCTGCCGCTGCTGGTTCTGCTGCTGTGCCCCTTCCTGCGGCTCCCCAGTCGTCCCGCTTTGCATCGGTGCTTCAGCCCATGTGGACGGATGATGATGGGTTTGATGGGGATGGGGATGTGCTATGGGGGGGAGGAGGGGGGTGTGCGGGAGGTGGGGGAGGGATGGGTGGAGTGCGAGGAGGTGGGAGGTTGGAAAGCGGGCGAGGTGGGGGGTTGGTGATGCCCCATGCTCCTCAATTCTCCCAGCAGCAGCAGCAGCAGCAGCAGCAGCAGCAGTTCTCTCAACAACTGCATCACCATCACCAACACCACCCACAGCATCAGCAGCAGTTGCTGCATCAGCAGAACCACCACCATCACCCCTACCAGCAGCAGCAGCAGCAGCAGCTAGCCCACTTGCAGCAGCAGCAGCAGCAGCAGCAGCAGCAGCAGTCAGGGCAGCTGCAGTTGCAACCTCACCATGCCTCGCGCCGTGCAGTCGCTCCTAATGCTGGCAGCACTGCCATGGAAGCCATTTGATCTCACATCAAGTAGTTCCCTTTGCACCCCTTTGCACCCCTTTCTCCCTTATCCTCTTTGTCCTACTTCTACTCCCCCCCACCCCACCCTCCCTTCTTTCTTCCCACTCCCCCCTTCTACACACTTGTGTGCGCCATCAACCCCCTCCCCCCCCCCCCCCCCCCCCCCTTTCCTTAGCTCTTCTTTGTTCGCTGCCCATTAGTATCTCATGCAAGAATTCATTCCCTGAGCTAGGCTTGGCACCTCGTAAGCCTGCTCCTAGCAAGTGGCTAGGGTGTGCGTGTGATATGCTGGAATTGGTACAGCCTTGTGTCGGCTGTACTACCAGTGCTTTTGGGACCTTTTTTGGCTTCGCTATAAGTGCCAGGTTCTTATTTTTCTCATACATTTTATTTCAGGCTGTGATGGTACCGTAGCACTGGTATTTACATTTCTGGTCTCACGATGAACTCGAGGTGGGTGGGACATATAACGGGCTACCGTGGCATGAAGTTGGCCACAAACATGGGTTTTGCCTGATTGGCTGATCGTCTCCACATCCACAAATGTCGGGAAACAAATGGGCTTCGCAAACCGTAGCTTCGTCAATGCTGGCGATATTTTTTTCGACGAGGTAGTGTACTTCTGCTCTCGCGATGTGCACAACCCCCACGCAACCTCAAGGTCCTCGTCAGCAACAACGGTTTCCCCACGCTGCAGGATTTTGGAGGCCTCTCCTGGATCTTACTTAGTGAAGTGCTGCGAAGTTCCAGATTTTAACCCTAAACAAAGCAGTGGTCGAGAAATCGGTTGCGAGGGACTGAAAGTGTACGGAAGGAGTATTCTCAATTGGATTGCTGTGCAGTTGTAACGCACACTTAGAAAATGAGAAACACGACACTTGGCGAAACGGGAACACTTTGGTTTGCAGGATTTTTGAAATGAATGCCCTCTGCGGCTGAGGCTCCAAGCAGCGCCAAGAAGCTTCGGAAGATCATAGCAGCGTTGCAGAACAGGGCCAGTAGTTCAGTGAGCGTTCGTTGTCCGATTTCCCTTTGCTCTCCGCCGCTTTCTGGTCGACCGATAAAACGATCCAGTCTTGCGCCTCACTTTTGGAATCTTGCCGTTCGATCCGCCGCTTGATCCGCCGCTTGATCCGCCGTTTGATCTTCACCCGATTTAACAGGCTCAGTTTATTCCGTCATTCGTGCATGCTAGGAACGTTCCAGCTAATGATATCACCCTATCGAGATTCGCGCTAGAAGGGCAGCATGGACAGCTGGTACAGGTTACTCCATCGATCGCTTAGATTTGCCAAAGCATCAGATAGACAAGCGATACCGAAAGGGCAATGACTCGCTTTACGCGCGTCGGATTCGCGCAGTGACCGTTCTGGTAACTTTTGAGTGTTCCGCGAGAGCCAATCACGCAGCAGCACGTGCGATCCAGCCGATACCTCGCCCTAGGGAAGCAATTCGTTTGAGCCGATTATAAAAACAGGCGGTTATACTGGCAGTCTTCGAGTAAACCACGCAGCAGGGAGGGCCAAGTTACAGAAGACGAGAGGAGCTGGAGGACTGGACGGTGGGGGTTAAGGAGTCAGGAGGAGCTAGAAGAAAGTAGAAGGAAGTAGAAAGAAGTAGGAGGAAGTAGGAGGAGGTGAAGGGAGGGAGAAAAAGGCAGGGGAAAGGGAGGAGGCAGGATCGGGAGAAGGAGGTAGGAGAAAGGAAGGAGGCAGGAGGACGGGGAAAAGGGGCCAGGAGAAGGAGGGACGCGGAGACAGGAGGAGGCGAGGAGGCAGCAGGAGGCAGGAGGAGGCAGCAGGAGGCCGGAGGAGGCAGCAGGAGGCAGGAGGAGGCAGCAGGAGGAGACAAGAATCATGTCGATGCGCATAAAGGAGGTGGTGGAGAATTTCGTGAAGGAGCTGCGCGTGGCGATGGAGGCGGACATTCAGGACCGCATGCTCAAGGAGCGCGAGATGAAGCAGTACCTCGAGGAGCGCGAGCGGGAGGTCGCGGAGCGCGAGGCCGCGTGGAAGGCGGAGCTTACGCGGAGAGAGGTGAGGTGCTACGCTGCTGCTGCTGCTGCCGCCGCCGCCGCCGCCGCCGCTGCCGCTGCTGCTGCTGCTGCTGCTGCTGCTACTCTGCTTTCTGCTCTGCTGCTTCCGCGGCCTGCTTTCTGTTTACGCTGGGGGGTGCTTGAGATTGGAGCCTGCTGTTGATTCGCTGGGAGAGTTTCTTCTCTTGTCCTCCCTCGCACCCGGCCACCCCCCCCGCTTTCCGCCGGCTCGTCCTCCTAACCTTCTCTTCTCCGTTTTTCCATCCCCGCCCCTACCCCATTTCCCGAACTGCACCCTCCCACATCCACCCCCCCCTCCCTCCCTCCCCCTCGTGCCCGTGCCCCCCCGTGCGCGCAAGGGCAGGCGGAGATTGTGAAGCAGGAGGCGCGGCTGCGCGCGGAGCGGGAGAACCTGGAGAAGGAGAAGCGCATGCTGATGGGGACGGCGTCCAACCAGGAGAACCAGGTGCGGGGGGGAGGTGGGGGGACGTGGGGGGAGCGGGGGGTGGGGGAAACGACTCTTGAGGCGGCTCAAAGGCGAACCTGGAGAAGGAGAAGCGCATGCTCATGGGGACGGCGTCCAACCAGGAGAACCAGGTGCGGGGGGGAGGTGGGGGGAGCAGGGAAGCAAGGGGGAGTAAGGGGGAGCAGGGGGGAATGGGTGGGTTTGAGGCGACTTTAAACTCGGATTGGGAGAAGCTTGAGATGAAGAAGCGCGTGCTCATGCTCATGCTCATGCTCATGCTCATGCTCATGCAGACATGATAGAAGTAGGGTTGTGAGATGAAGAGCCCGCGCTTCTTCATCTCAAAACACTACTTCTATCACGAAGCCTGAGATGCAGAAGCTCGTACTCATACTCATGCTGCAGAGCAGACTGCATCCAATCAGGGGAACCAGGTGCGGGGGAGGTGGGGATAGATAGCGGGATGACTTTTGAGTCGACTCAAAAGTCACTCAAAAGTCATCTCCTGAGATGAGGAAGCTCGTACTCATGCTCATGCTGCAGAGCAGACTGCATCCAACCAGGGGAACCAGGTGCGGGGGAGGTGGGGATAGATAGCGGGGGAGGGGGAGGGGGGTTTGAGTCAATCAATGAACGCGGAGCGGGAGAACCTGGAGAAGGTCCGAAGGAGAAGCGCACTCATGCAGATTGCATCGAACCAGGACAACCAGGTGCGGGGGAGAGGGGGGGAACATGGGAGAGGGGCTGATAGGGGGAGTGGGGGACTGGCAAGAGGAATAGTCGAGGTGTAGGGGAGGGGTTGAGGATTGACAAGGGGGGAAAAGGGTGGGGTGGGGACGGATGGGGGGGGGGGGAGAGAGAGAGGGTATGTGTCTGCACTGTCGGCATATATTGCATGCATGCAGGTAATTACATGGGCTCAACTCAATCACCTTCATTGTGCTTCTCCCGTGCCGTGGCCGTGCATTGCAGGACGGGGCGCTGGAGACCACAGTGAGTTGGGAGAAGTACTTTCGAGGTGCCTCAAAATTCGCCTTCGTTGTGCTCCCCCTGTTGCGGCCATGCATTGCAGGATGGGGCGCTGGAGATCACAGTGAGTGGGGAGAAGTACCGCTGCTTGCGCTTTGCCAAGGCCAAGAAGTGACCCGAGTGACCCGAGTGACCCGAGTGACCCGCAGTTGCAGGAGAGTTGGCTCATCGAAGGGGACTGCTAGGAGGGCTGCAGGGGCCGGCCGGCCGGACAAAGAGGGCTGATAGTTGTTACCGGTGGCAGGGCAGCAGCAGCAACTTCTGCTGGAGGTGGAGGTGTGGGGGGCGGTGGAGGGTGGTGCAGGGCGGTGGTCATGGCTGCGGTATGGTTGAACGTCCTGCCTTCCCCTCCATTCGATGGCCGGTTTTCTTTGGTGTGTGGGTAGCTTCTTGTGGAGTGGTGTGGGAGGGAGCTACCGTTGTTACATGCATGAGCTTGCATGGACACGTGCAGCTGCAGCAGATGTTTGGTTTGGGGATGACAACGATAAGCAGGCAGCAGCACCTAGCAGTGGTAGCACGAAGCAGCGGCAGCATTAGCAATGGCAGCAGTTCTGGTTGTAACAGCAGGTGAACGCGATGTGGCAGGAGGGTCTGTCTTGGTTGGTTCGTCATACATTAAAGAAGCAAGTCATTTTGCTTATGGGTGAGGGGGCAGGTGTGGGTGAGCAAGATGAACAGCGTGTTAGGGGTACGAGGTTAGTGGCTAGGCTCTAGTGCAGGGATCTGGCGTATTGGCAGGTTTTTGTTGAGCATCTGTTGTGGGATTTGAAATGATTGTGTGGCATTACCCAGAACCGAACGATACTGTACACTGTACACGCCTCCTGTCACATTGGACATGTCGCAACCACTCTGCTCCCAGGATTGAAACCGTGATATACCTTTGTTTATGGCCATTTGGCCAAGCTTTGTTTCGTGTAGAGCAGGAAAAGTAATTCTGCATAGTTTTTTTTGTTCAGATGTGCATGATACCTGAAACATCAATGCTCCATTCTTCTGATTGCAAACACAACCACCTAGTGTACCATGGTATCAAAACCCTGAGTTGTCAGTTCAAAATCTCAAGGATGGTGCATCAAGAAACAAAAAAAAAAAACTTGTAAAAAAATTAGCCCAAGTGACTGGAATGCATCAATGAGGGGGGGGGGGGGGGTGGGGGGGACATGCGACGAAGAAGCCACCTAGTGGCTAGTGAACCTTGAAACCAAGGAACGACGACGCACTCCTGCGCAACGACTCCCGCAACCAGGCGCCCGCACTGCTGCCGCCGCCGCCGCCTCCGCTGCTGCTGCTGGTGGTGGTGGCCGTGGCGTGAAGCAAGCGAGCAAGCCTCCCGGGACGGCCCAGGCCACCACTCCTTGCCTTCCCTCCATCCTGCTTCGCCCAGGCTCCCTCCACTCTGGCCCTCCTCTCCATACCCTCACCACCACCCCAATCCCCAACAGCATCCCCGTCCCCATCCCACCATCGCGCTGCGTAACCCCCTCCTTCAGACTTGCACACAGGTATTGAGAGCAAGGGTGCTCGGCCCTGCACTTCCCAGGTGGACACTTCTTCCCCCTCGCCGTCCATTTCGCCTTCCTCCGCGCCATCTCGCTCGTAGTCACCTTGCCTTCCCTCGCGTTTAACAGCAGGGAGGCGCAACGTGGGAGGAGGAGGCAGAGAGGAGGTGGCGGAGGAAGCAGAGGGAGAGGATGAGGAGGAGGAGGAGGAGGAGAAGAAGGTTGCAGCAATGGCGCTGGTGGTACTGGCGGTGCTGGCTGTGCTGGTGCTGGTTCTGGTGCTGGCTGTGCTGGTGCTGGTTCTGGTGCTGGCTGTGCTGGTGCTGCTGCTGCGTGTGTTGGCAGTGCAGCTAACAGCGGTAGCAGATGGCCGGAAGGGAAGAGAGGTAGCACAAGAGTTTGGGCTCAGGTTGAAGGAAAACCCAGTGGGCGAAGGAATCCCCATCCGGGGTGACGTGGCCGCATGTGGTGAGGTGGTGACACGTGGCACCGCTGCCCCCGTCTCCGCTGCTGCAGAAGCACCCGTGGAAGCACCTTGCAAGCTCACATGCCCGAAAGCGGCACCACTGCCGCCACCGCTCCTCCTGCTGTTCACAACCTTCCTCCCACACCTGCTGGTGCTGGCGCTGCTGCTACTGCTGCTGTTGGTACCGATGCCACCTGTTGCTGCCCGTTCCTGTAACGAGCCTCCCAGGCGTTCTGGAAGGTGCCGGACCTGCTGATGGCACGGCGAAGACGGCAACGACGGCGAGTGGAGGTAGAAAACCTCTTCTTCCTCCTCCCTCTCCCCCTCCTGTTGTTGCTGTTGGCGGTGGTGGTGGTGACGGTGTTGCTGCTGCTGCTGCTGCTGCTGTTCCAACTCCAGCTCCCCCGCGAGCTGCGCGTCGTGCGCGCGCGGACTCATCATCTCCCCAAAGCTGAAGCTCCCCTCCGACCGGGGGCTATCCGCTTGCGCGCTCCCGCTCACTCCGCCGAACCGCGGACTGCTAGCGTTACTGCTCCTGCCACTGCCGCTGCCAGTCGCACTGCCAGTGCCGCTGTTCTCGCCGTTTCCGCCTCCAGTGGTCCCGGCGCAGCTGCTGTAGCGCGCGGAGTGTCCGGGCATCTGAACGACGTGGCGCGCGCATTTCAGCGCGGAGACCGCCTTGCTCGTTTCCAGCAGCTCCAGCTGCGCCTGCAGCAGCTGCATGCGCGCCTCCTGCGCGGAGCGCGGCGTCTGCGCCGCGCACGCGAAAGTTGCGCCGCGCGGGGTGGGCGCAGGGGACACGGGGGAGCGCGACCGCTGCTGCTGCTGTCGGCGGAAAGAATCTTGGCGCGCAATGGCGCAAGGGCCGTCCGCGCCCACTACCGCGCGCAGCTCCGCCTGAAGAGTGGCGGAAGCCGCCCAGCTCTCCTCCTCCTCCGCCTCCTGTTCCGCCTCCTCCCCCCTCCCCTCCTCCCATTCCTCTCCGAAAACCTCCTCTGTCTCAACCTCAATACCCAAATCGCCTCGAGCTCCCATACCGAGCCTCGGGCTCAGGCCTTGGCCTTGCGAGGATGTTTCTTGTAACGGGCGCGGTCCGGGAACCGAGCTCCTCCCAGCGGGAACGTCAGCCGCTGCCGCATTGTTGCTGCGCGCATTTCGGCCATACATCGCCGCCGCGCCTCCCTGAGGGGAAGCCGTCGTTTTCCTCTGGGGAGAAGGAGCCGCCGCCGCGGCGGAAGGCCGGCCCGCAGCAGGCGGGGATGCGGCAGGAGCGGCGGCGCCGGAAGCGGCGACGGCGGAAAGCACAGTAGCGGCGGGGGTGGATGCGCGGAAGAAGTAGTTGCTGACGTTGGCGGCCATTGCGCTGCCGAGGCTCGTGGCGCGCGCCAGCACGGGCAACGCGGCGAAAGCGCGCGGGCTTTGCGGGGACGGACCGTTCGAAAAGGGGGTGTGGCGGGAGGAAGCTGCGGGCGGCGGGGTGAGCGGGGGGACGGCGGAGGTGGGGCGGAGGTGGGGACTGCGCGGGGTGTAAGAAGAAGGAAAAGGGGATGGGGGAGGAGGAGGGGCATTCCAGACTGCGGAAAAACTCAAGTCTCGCGGCGCAAAAGGAGAAACGGGTGAAAAAGGGGGAAAGGGAGAGGAAAAGGGAGATAGAGGAGTCCAACGATCTTCCCCGTGACTGGCTGATAAGGACGCCGTTCCGCGGCCGTAACTAACGCTCGAAGAAATACCCACGCCCAAAAATGAGTTCTGCGACCCAGCGGCAGCAGCAGACGCTTCGGCGGAGGCGGAGGCGAGCGCAGCCGCGTCCGCGGCGGCGGCGGCACCCGCGGAGAGCGCGACAGCGGCTCCTGCGCCACGAGCGGCGGCGGCGGCCGCGGCGACAGTTGCGACGGCGGCGGCAGCGGGGCTGGGGGAGCCCGCGGAGAAGAAGGAGCGGAGGAAGTCGATATCTAGGAGCTCGTCGTCCGGGGTTTCGGCGGGACAGCCGGCGAGGTTTGAGGACGCGGTCTCGTAAGTACGAGGCGCCCAGTCTATCAGTAATAACATGGGCGAAGCCATTGCGCGAGCCAGTATGTGAGAGAAAGGCGGTTAGTTTAGCTTTGAGATGCTATCGAGTAAGTGAGAAAGGATCAATGGTTTGATGGGCCGCCATGGAGGGACGAATTATGAGCAGTTTGCGTGTCGTGTGTGAGGAACGATTGGACGTGGTGAGGTGAGTTTTGGTGCTTCGCAATGTGAAGCGGAATGGTGGTACGGTGCGGTGCGGAGTGGACGGAGGCTGCTGAATCGAGCGCTGCAGATTTTAGCCAAGAAACCAGAAGCAAGGTGGAGCAGCGAGGAGGTCGGAGGAGCAAACAAACACCACACAGCAAGGACGAGTTGAGTGCAGCTGCAGGGCAGAGCAGAGCAGAACAGGGGTAAGTGCACTGCAGCGCTGCCAGTACTAGACGCGCGGCACGAGATATTAGGACCAAAGGAGTGGAGGCAAGGCAAATCGCGTGACGGAACTGCAAATTCAGATTTTGCTGCCGTGCCTGCCCCCGCTGTTCAATTTGAAAAGCGGGATTGGCTGGAATTGACAGCAGAGCGAAAAGTACAAAGGTAATTCTGTCTCCACTCGGCTCAAGTGGGGGATCCCGCTGCTGACTTGGGCATGCATGCACCAGCCAACCTCCATCCTTCGGTCCGTAAAAGCTTTCCGCAACAATAGAATAATGATTTGCAGGGACCAAATTCAGGCTTTCACATATTTTTCCAAGGTACACAAACAATGCTGCGCTTACACCATATGCTGCTTTTCTCACGAACCCAGACTGGATAAATGTTGAAGTCTTCATGGTCATGTGGTGAAGGAATGGAGCAGGCAAATATCACCCACGACACGCCAGCATGCGTTTCTAGCCAAGAAAGACTGCCCCGAAACGGTTTTTTGTTTGGCGTGGGACTCGTTTGTCGTTTCGGTATTCTCCAGAAGAACGGGATTGATGTGGTGGAAGCAAGCAGCCACTAAGGATTCGACCGAGAATAACGTGAAAACTCGAAACAGGCTGACTTGAAACGATCGTTCTAGACTCAATGACGGTGTAGCATGCATGGTCTCCAAATGCTAGGCAATGGGAGGCGAGTATTTGGAAAAAATAGAAAGGCAAAAGACAACGGCCTTGTGGAGATACTTCCACAAATATAATAAATTCCAATGTAACTAGGCTGACATCGTCAATACATAGATCCAACTAGGCTGCATATACTGTTGTAGTTACATCAAATTAACATCAACCTTTTTTACCCAAGGCCAGGGGGCGAGCGAGCGTGTCTCTGCCGTTCCTTCTAACGACAATGCCATTTTCACCGCACCTGAGTGGTGTATCTCTTCCGCCATGCGCCTATGCCTCCCCATTCAGCAGTTGATGGTGCGTAGAGTCACTCCACGACGGGAGTGGACTACGGAGGAGGGTACGGGGTTGTGCGGATGATCGTAGCTCGTTCTCACTACTTGTTGTGTTTACAGATAACATTGGCAATTGTTTCACTGGCAAAGAGATGGAACATTATATTATAACGAGGCATGCTGGTCAATAGAGCAAAGAAGGCACTGCAACACCCTAGGCGCCGCCGCGCACCGTGCATAGGCCCGCCGTCGCGCCGCCCTACCTGCCCGAGTCGCGCCGCCCGAGTCGCGTCGCCCTGATCGAGCCGCGCCGCCCCACCTGCAGAAACTGCTGTTCCTGTTCCTACTACAGCTACTACAGCTACTGCTCTTACTGCTACTACTGCTACTGCTACTGCTACTACTACTGCTGCTACTGCCACTATGGCCAGTCCTACCGTTCTCACTTTCGACTCTGAGGGCCGTCCGATTAAGTTTGACGTTTGGCTCGATGACCTGCACCTGTTCCTCCAGATCACTGCCAAGGACGATGTTTCCCTGTTTGACCACACGTCCGGCATAGCCCCCGCTCCTGCTGCTACTGCTGACAGTACAGCTCGCTCACAGTGGCAGACCCGTGATGCTCACGCTCGCCTAGCCGTTCGCAGCCACCTGCCGTTAGATGAGCGCGAGCACTTTGGCCAGCATAAGACCGCTAAGGAGCTGTACGACGCTGTAGTTGCGCGCTACTCCTCCCCTGCTACTGCTGCGATAGGCCGTCTCTCACTGCCCTATCTTTTCCCCGATCTGTCCGCCTTTGTCACTGTAGCTGACCTCATCACTCACCTCCGCTCTAGTGATCTTCGCTACCGTGCCGCACTTCCTCCTGATTTCCTCGCCAAGAACCCTCCCCCGATGTACCTCACACTCTACCACCTAGTCACTCGCCTCCCTGACTCTCTTCGCGCTGTCAGGGACCACTTTCTCGCCCTCTCTCCCACTGACCTCACTGTCGACCTGCTCGAGAAGGAGCTCCTTGCAGCTGAGACTAGCATTGTAGCTGTAGGTGCCTCTCGTGGCGACCCTCGCACTCCCTTCTTTGAGGGATGCTCCCCCTCCCCCCTTCTCCCCTCCATTGCATCTGCTGCTGCTGTCGACTACCTCGGTGCTGAGGAGGTCGGGGCTGTGTCTGCTCCTAGTTGGAGGCGCAAGGGCGGCAAGGGCAAGGGGGGCAAGGGTGGCGGAGGTGGAGGAGGGGGCGGCGGTAGTGGAGGGGGTGGAGGAGGCGGGGGTGGTGGCGGTGGTGGGAGTGGTGCTGGTGGTGGGGGGGTCAGTGGCGGAGGCGGGGGTGGTGGCGGCGGCGGTGGTGGGGGTGGCGGGGGTGGTAGTGGTAGTGGTGGCGGCGGTGGAGCTGGTGGCGGGCGCGGTGGAGCGGCGCAGCGTGGGGGGTTCGGCGGTGGCCAGAGGCAGCAGCAGCAGCGTCCCAGCGAGACCCCGTCGCCCCAGCAGCTTCGTGAGTGGTACTCTCAGCGTGGGGGGTCTGGGGGTGGAGGTACCTGCCCGTACGTTATCCGCACAGGTGACCGCACTGGCCAGACCTGTGGGAGGTTCCACACGGCACAGCGCTGCTTCTTTCGTCTCGACGACGCCTGGCGCGCGCAGTTTCCTGACGCCACTGAGCTGCCTCGCTGGGCTGATCTGATGAGAAAGAACATTGATATCTTTGCTCTTGATTTTGATGCTATCCTTGGTGCCATGTATGCATTGACTGTTAGTGGAGAGGGTGACTGTTACCTGCGTGTCCCGCCCGACCCGGGCATTAGGACCAGTGAGGCTGCCGCACTAGGTGCTCGTGTGTCCGTTGCCCCAGGTGCTGGTGAGGCTGCTGCTCTAGGTGCTAGTGTGTCTGTTGCCCCAGGTGCTGGTGAGGCTGCTGCTCTAGGTGCTCGTGAGTCTGCGCCCTCTGGTACTGCGTCTACTGAGGCACTACACACCTTCACACTGGACTCAGGTGCTTCCCGCTGTTTCTTTCGTGACCGCACTGCGCTTGAGCAGCTTGCTCGGCCGGTTGCAGTCTCCCTCGCTGACCCCTCTGGGGGTCCGGTCATTGCGACCTCCTCCACTGTCCTCCCTTGTCCTGCGGTCCCGTCGGGCACACTGTCAGGTCTCTACCTCCCCTCGTTCTCTACGAACTTGGTGGCGGGTCGTGCTCTCCAGGACGGGGGTGTCCACCAGTTCACCCCTGCCTACGAGCGCGTGACACACTGCACGTGTGCTCGGACGGGTCGCCACCTGGCTACCTTCACTCGGCAGCCGGGGTCGGACCTGTACACACTGACCACTGAGTCCCCTCAGGTAGCTGCGTCTGCGTCTGCGTCAGGTCAGTTGTCGCCCCCCTACTCGTGTCGCTCCCTGTCGCACGAGACCGTCCTCTGGCACCACCGCCTTGGTCACCCGTCAGTGCAGCGCCTTCGTGGCATGCACTCCCGGTACCTTGTATCTGGTCTTCCCAGGGTTCTCCCTCCCCTCCCACCCTCGCCTGCTCCTCCCTGTCTTCCCTGTGTCGAGGGGCGGCAGCGCGCCGCTCCTCACTCCTCCTCGTTTCCCCCGACGACTGCTCCCCTGCAGACCCTACACATGGACGTGTGGGGCCCAGCCCGCGTCC